TTCCTCAACCGCGTGATGAGGAGCCTTTGAATTGGGACAGTCCTCTGCGCGGGGCAGTGACGTATGCGGCCGACAGATGTGCACTCATGAGGACCCAGCCCCTGAATTGAGACGCGGTGCAAGATGGCGGCTGCCTGTGTGGCGACCCGCGACCATGGAGATATAAACAGCTTTTTATAAGGTAAAAATAATAAAACAAGGTCTTTGTCTGCAATGATTAGACATGTTTTTTTATTATTGTCATTAGTAATTAGGTCAAACCCTGTTTCCATCATGGGAGAAGAAGTGGAGGTGGTTGAGGAATATAAATACCTCGGTGTTCATCTGGACAACAGACTGGACTGGAGACTCAACACTGAAGCAGTCTATAGGGATGTGGATAAATTTTTAATCCTACACCAATATTAAATCTGAAAGCAGATTCCAAAAGAACATCACAAACCGTACAAAATAACACCAAAATCATGTGATTATTTCAAGTATGAGGGAAGTTATTGATGTTCAGGTGAAATCAGCTCATGTTTTCTTGCTGAAGTTCACAGCAGAACCACTGGGATCATTTCACCTTGTTGTTTTCTAATTTTGCTCATAACTTCCTCAGTGTTTAAGGTATCGCCATGAAATTTTAAGAAAAGATTCACAGTCTGGTTTTTGTAGGAAGCATCTTGTATCCTAAAAAACTAATAAAACTTAATAATAGCCAATTCAAAACTAGCAGAAAAGGTATAAAATAACATTACAAGACAAACTGCAGCATCAAATCAACTTAATGTGTCTTAGAAAGTAATGAATTTAAAACAATTTAAAAACCATGTGAACATGTTGTAAACAAAGCTCCTCAACCAATGACAGCGTGTTAAATGTGTCAGGTGATGAAGACGAGCATCAACACTTTGCAACAAGCGCTGTTCTGGATAAAAAAACATACTTCAACATTTTAAATCCTTATCAAATTAGGAACAAGGGCAGATAAAATAATGTTCTTCATGGCAGCTTATCTCTTTAAGGTTCACCAGAAAAACTCATGATTTACTTTGATCCTCTTTTCAAAAAATTGTCTCTTCAGAACGCATCAACAAAAATTAAAAACTGAAAGACGAGGCTGTAGCTAACTACCTGACATCAGCGCGGTTTGTTGAAATTCGTAGAAATAACAAAGCAGGAGGAAATTACAAGCAAACGCACTGAGCAGCCTCGCAAAATCTGGTCACAGCAGTTTGGGAAGAAAATGGCAGCAGAGACGAAATGTCAACATCCCTACAGTCTACAAAGCAGATTTTACTTCTTAAGGAAGCTGAGATCCTTCAATGTCTGCAGCAAGATGCTGCAGATCTTCTACAAGTCTGTTGTTGAGGAAGCTGAGATCCTTCGATGTCTGCAGCAAGATGCTGCAGATCTTCTACAAGTCTGTTGTTGAGAGCATCATCTCTTCTGCAGATCTTCTACAAGTCTGTTGTTGAGAGCGTCATCTCTTCTGCAGATCTTCTACAAGTCTGTTGTTGAGAGCATCATCTCTTCTGTAGATCTACAAGTCTGTTGTTGAGAGCTTCATCTCTTCTGTAGATCTTCTACAAGTCTGTTGTTGAGAGCGTCATCTCTTCTGTAGATCTTCTACAAGTCTGTTGTTGAGAGTATCATCTCTTCTGTAGATCTACAAGTCTGTTGTTGAGAGCATCATCTCTTCTGCCATCATCTGTTGGGGCAGCAGCATCAGAGCCAGGGACCTAAAGAGGCTCAACAACCTGATAAAGAAGGCTGGTTCTGTTCTGGGGACGACTGTGGAATCTCTGGAGATGATGGTGCAAAGAAGGATTTTACATTAAATCAAGAACATTGTGGACAACCCTGACCATCCTCTTCATCAGACTGTCATAGAAAGAGAAAGTGTCTTCAGTCTGAGGCTTCTTCAACTTCACTGTAATACAGACGCTACAGAAGATCTTTCCTGCCCACAGCCATCAGCATCTACAATAARTCTTTAGTTAAATGACTTACAACAACACCTAACTTCCCTCTGGGATCAATAAAGTATTTTTGAATTTGAATTATCTCAATTTCGGCTAAAAGAATTGACAAAATCCGACACACTGTGCCTTTAAATCATCTTCTGCGTCCATTCAGCTAACTCCGTTGGCCGGTTGCTTTGACCAATAAAGTCAAGTATTGAGCTCCAGCGTTTAAACTTTTTTTAAAAGGAGCTCCGATTGTAAAGTAAAATAAATCAATACATACAAAACTTTAGTATGGATTACAAATGTTTACTGTTTTTGCTGTTGACTTCCTGCTTCGTAAGCAGACACAAAGCATTGTGGGAAATGAGAACCGTGGCTCAAAGCAACAGTCAGCAGGATGTATACCTTCACAATAAGAGTGTTTATCTGGGAGGGGTGCTGTTGGATAGATCACATGTGTTGTGATTCATTGACAGTCATACCTTCTGCTGTTCAACATAATGATGACTGCTAGAGAATTAGTTATTAGCTGTACTGCTTTTTAATTTAAAACAAATCTGCTTACGAATTATAAAAGTTTGTAAGAACGCTAAAGTGCAAACAAAAGATTCAGGTCTGCAATTAGCGCATTTGCACTTTAGCAGGCTGGTGCCCACCACTGCAAATAAACAAATGAAAACAGAATGAGTCGGGTGACAGACGGAGGGATCAGGGCTTCAGAACAAATGTTGCACAAGATTTATACAGAAACTGTTTGAGTTTCACTCTTATTAATAACTGGTTCACCTTAACACCTTAACTGGTTCACCTTAACACCTTAACTGGTTCACCTTAACACCTTAACTGGTTCACCTTAACACCTTAACTGGTTCACCTTAACACCCCCTGTGAGCGGGAAAACCCTCCCGAACCCCACCGGGGGGGACTCAAGTGCTCCCATCAAACAGGATCCTTCTTATAGCTGATGACTGAGTTACTCACTTTCTACATTTTTAACAGTTTTTCAGAGCTTCAGCTAAACTAATGCTAACGCTAACCCCGCAACACTTTTTAATGAAATGTTCATGTTTATGTTTGGTGAAACCATGGTTTCAGGTAACTTGTGTAAATTTTCACGATGTTCAGTTGTTTCCTCTGTTTTTAGACTGTGAAACTTCCTCTCTACACAGGAAGTCATTAAAATCAGTTCCTGTTGCGTGATGACATAAAACTGGTTTAGTGCATCTTCTCCTCTTTAAACTGACAGTTTCCTCCTGGACTCTATAAAAACATTAAATTTGCCTGTTTGAAGCTTCAGAGATGTGACGGCTCCTGTGAGGATCCACCTGATGTCTCATGTTACGCTGATGACACCTGACTGATCTGATCTGTTATTAAAAACCTGCTGACTCAAAAAAAAAAAAAAAAAAA